TCCCATAGCTCCTTTCAGTACGACCAAGTGCTTGCTGGCTCTCTTTCTACCATTACTTATCTAAAATAGCCTTGCAGCTGTAATCATGAGGCTATTTTCTGCTCCGGCAGCGGTGTTGCTACCGTTGTGGTTTTGCCGCTATCTACTGTGTCAACAGGTAGACAACCACCGTTAAGAATTGGTAGTGCCGGAGACAAAAGCTACCAGGTATTCCAGATCACAGCCAAGCGTGAATCACCAAACTTCAGGCCTCCACTGTACTGCCTGCATAAATCCACTGCCTATTTATGCATAAAAAGCAGTTCTTTCCAAAGCTATTCAAATGCCAGAAATGAGAGATTATTATGACTTCATGTCATGTTGAAAGACAGGTGGAGGAGAGCACAATGTTTGTGTTGGATTCAAATGTCTGCTGAAATCATTCCTGTCACTGCTAATTGATGTTGCATCTGTCTTTAGATTGTGACTATTGGGGAAAAAAAAAAAAAGCTGAAGATCTTATTCAGAGAAATAATTACAGTTGTACACTGGTAGATATAAAATTAAAGTACAGGGGGGGAAGGGAGCTGCATCCTATAATTTATCAAATTCCTACATCCCTGCAAAATAATTAGATGCTGGCCAGCATGCCGGCCCTGCTGCAGAGGCTACTGTCAAGGGGATAGCGGTGGTCAAAAATAGGCCACTGGTTCTCATTTATTCCATCCGTTTTTGCTCTTCTGTTGTGTTTGGAGTATTAGTTTCCAACTATCAAGAGGCAAGGCAGAAAAACAATGGCAGGCTTTATTAAGAGCTAGAGACGTAATCCCCAAGCACCAGTGAAATTGCACAAGTAAGCTGGAGAGGGAAAAAAGGGAATTCTACTTATGTCTGGCTTTCGGGAATTTCACCCTCCAAAGTCCTTCAGTGCGATATAGTTACAGGCAGTATTAAATCTGCGTTACTTTGACAAACTTTCATTGAAACAATTGAAGATTACTAATGGAAGCAGTATATGAAGTAGCTCTTCAGTAGATGCCTTACATCCCAGTTGCATGGCTTGTTTTTTGGTTTTTTCCTTTTTCTTTTTCTTGCTCCTTTTCATGATGGTTGTGTGGACATTAGCTGAATCCATCGCACCGATTTGTAAATTTTAATACAAAGAACCAACTTAATCTAGTAAAAATTGACACTGCTCCATGTAAGCCAGACACAAACTTATATCGAGTCACCAGGGACACACTCCTCTAGCCCCTAGGCAGCAGAACTGGACCCTAAGTGTGATATACATTATTACCGTATGACGTATGTGACTTGACGAGTTTCCGCCAGTCAGTGCTCTTGCCGGACACCCTTCCTCCTCCACCCGCCTTCCTTTATCAAAATACCATCTTCAGCTCTGCACTGGAAGATCCCCGCGGAGCCCGGCGCTTCACCCGCGGGAAGTCTGTGCTGGAGATACGCCAGATACTGCCGCGGTCCCAGACAGCAGCCGCTTTGCCACTTGGTAGTGAACTATGCTGGAAGGGCGCTTAAGGAGAAAGAGCTTGGAACAGCTCTCTCGTGTAGCTGTCCCTTAAAAGAGTGCAGTCATGACTGCTCTGGTGGGTCAAGTTCATTCCGGATGGGGTTTTTCACAGCACGAACGGCAATTCAGGTGCTTAGTACTGTTTTTCCTACCCGCGTGCAAAGGAGGACGGCGTGGGGAGGGGGAGTGAAGCCACTCCTGGGACAGTCAGCTAAATTCCATGTGCAGAGCAGCCCAAAGGCCGGCAGTGGGAATCTTACTGGAAAGCAGACGGTGTCTGCAGAAATCCAGTACCCCGAATCCACTCCGGGACGTGGAGGTGTTGTGGCTGCTGTTTCACAGGCTGAACTGAAAGGCACAGCGCGTCGGCTCTTACCTTGGCGCTGGCTTACTGCATGAGAGTGCAAGCGTCCTTCGCCCAAGCACAGTGGATAACTATAATTTCCTGTAAGTTATGTGAATTTCATTTACAATTCACCCCCAGAACGTTGTTTAAGAAAGTCTTGGAAGTGTAATTTCGTACTAGTTCTGCAATTGTGAACCACAGCCTCAGGCAGGAAGATAATTTCCTGGTAGGTAGGCAATAGAGCTTATGTGGAGGACTGCTTCCTGCAGCTTCAGGGACTTCTTCTGATAGTTGTCTCTCCATTTGCTGCATCGTGCTTGGGAAACAAGGGATTTGTTCATAAAGTAGGAATCTGTGGTTGTAACATGAGATGATACAGAGATGTGTCCGGTACATGACACAGAGATGTGTCAACTTCAGCATTTTTTGTATTTCTGGAAATTGAAGACTAATTGCTTATCAGAAATGTTCAGCAGCAGGCTCCTAAGTAAATATTAAAGCTTTACGTTAAAGAAGTTTGCTGCTTCACTGACTCCAGCTGTAAAGTAGCTGGGAGGGATGGACTCCCCCTTCGTATGCTGTCAAGTTAGGGAATTGTAAAATTAAGGTGCTTTTTTTAGCACAAGTCCATAAGACATGCATGTCCAGATGCAATTTTAACTTCTCATTTACATTTGCAATTCAATGTGTGTAGGAGCCTCCAAAAATGAAGTCTTCCATGAGGATTAACTTAGAGTAATATAAAGTAATGAAAATTGATTGCGGCACCTTCTCGGTTGTCTTCTGAAAATTTATAAATAAATACCTGCTGTAACGGGTATCAGTGTCTTCTAGAAGGTTTCCTTTTCCCCCCTTTACATTTCATTACAACAATCGGCTTCACAATGACTCATTGCCTTCGTTAGGAGCGGGAAGACATCCCTCATTATTCATTACTAAAAGAAGGACTTTGCTGCTGCAAAGAGCAGCCATGGCATTCTAATTCAGCTACCTTTCAAGAGAAAGGAGTCAATGTCATTCTTCCCCAAACTTTGCCAAAAGAGACAAGAAATAATGCTGTTTAATTGTCTCCATTTATAAATAGCCCATTCACAATGAGAGAATTGTCTTTTTAACGCTGCAGTCGGGAGGAAAAGATACACTTTTTTCCACGTTCGTGTCTGAATTTCATTTCTGGGAGCTCGCGCTCAAGACTCTCAAAACTATAAATGATCATGTATACGTATGTATAAAAATGAAATGCATTTATTTACTATTTATTGTATGAATTTTAACTTACAGAGAACTGTAGATGCACAAATGCACACACAAAGCATTTACCGTTTAAGTAATCCAAGGATATATTTGATTTCAAAGGAAGTAGGGAAGACTGTATTAAAATAATGGTTTTTCTTGATTTTACTAATACAAATGTTCCTCGTCTCTTTTTGCATTCGTTTGTTTCAGATTTATTTAGTTAGATATTAAGGGATTGAGCTTGTATTTTGTTTTTACTCTACTTTAATGTGATTCTTTTAAGCTCTACAGCATGGACTATGCCTCTTTATAAATAAAGCTATGATCATGTGTTACTAGAAACCCCATTTCAAACCGTACTTTTGCCAGCCTTGGTTAAGATTTTCTAGGAAGGGACATTATAATTGTGTGATTAATCTTCAGAAAAGGGAAGTTTTGCCTCTGCAGTATTTCTTACTGTATTAACTTCAGAGATTTATAAAACCGGCTTGAAACTGCACCGTAAGTGTGTTTATAATGACTTTTAGCTGATTTAATAATCCTCAAAGTTTGGTGACTGTACAGATCACGGCTTCACAAATACAGTCCATTACCTGTAGCATCCAGATGAAGTTATCAGAGGTGGAGGAAATTACTTGGGATTGTATTTCTCCTTAGCGATGCACTAATCCAACCTCCGGCTGAGGCGGGGGCTCTCACAGCCCTGGTCTGCATTTATCCCATCACGCAGTGGGGACATGTGCATGGACGATAAAGAACATCTTCATGTTGAAAGTCTAGCTGGGGCATGTGTACACCGTCACGTCTTGGTGGCACAGTTGTAAGGCACCTGGTGTGGAGACGTCGTTAGGAAAATTTTCAAGCCAGCCTGTGATTAATTTTTTCTGTTGTCCTCGGTATCTACAGCGTGCTGTTAATGCCACTCCCTGCAGCTGGCAGTGCTGGGTGTCTCTCCTAGTTCATGATCCTGCAAACCTTTTTCAATCCAAGGAGCTCCTGATCATGCAAATAGCTCTGCTAACTGCAGGTATTGGTACTGTCTTATCCCAGTGGAGTAAGAGCCTCTCGGACAAGTAAGGCTTTGCGGGATCAAATCCTTAGATTACATTTATACGCGACAAGCCATGGCACAAGGCTGTTTTTAAAAGTCACCAGTTAAAACAAAAGGAGTTGAAACAATGCCAGAAGCCTCATGTTAAGCTTTCTGGCTGTGTGCTTCTTTCAGTGTTTCCAAGCTTTGCTTTTCATAATGATAAATATCAAACAACAACCCTGGGAATCACTGGGAGCTGGATTGGCAGGTCTCAGTCTCCATTTAACATGCAAATGATCAGCCTGTGCCCACATATGGCCACTTGCTAGATCAGAACTCGGTTCATTAACACAGAACTCGGAGAGCTCTGGGTGGATGTGGGGTACGCACGTAATGACCCAGAGCACAGTGCTTTAAGCCAGGGAGTGAACAACACACAGCATAGAACTGAATTTACACATGTTCAGGAATGCAAATACCGGGCATGTTTTTCCAGAACCCTGATTTTTCCTTTTTTTCGTCTTCCATTTCACAACAGTTAAGTAATCAGGCTTCAATCAACTGCATAGTTCCAGACCAGCTTTTTGAGATATTTCGTGACTTTAAAGCGATTCCCGACCTTCATCTCCCAGAAGACATGCAGAGTTTCTTTAATGGTGCTAAGGACTGTCAGGAGCCCGCTAACACCTACAGAATTCACCTCTTTGGCATTTTCTTAATTTTCACTTTATTAAGCAGATAAAAGGATAGCTATTTCCTTTCCAGGCTCCCTTGTTTGCTCTGTGATGTGCTGCGAGGTATCAGTCCAGCCAAACATTTCTTTGATCAACGAGCAGCGTAAGCTGTGTGAAACCTAACGTGTGCCTTTACATCTTTAGGCATCCACTGTGACAATATATGCACCCAGGGCCGCTGGGGACCAAACTGCTCCATCTCCTGTAACTGTGAGAACGGGGGATCCTGCTCCCCAGAGGATGGGACCTGTGACTGTGCACCAGGATACAGAGGACCTTTGTGCCAGAGAAGTAAGATTTTCCATAGATGTGGTAGCAGAAGCAAAGCAGGTAGAAATGTTCATTTTATGATACCAGAGACATGGGTTTCTGCGCTGCTTTAGTTCATGACTTCCTAAGGGCAAAAGTTAGCCTAAAAAATCCTTCTTGATCAAGAAGTCAAGACTCTACTGCATTGAGTCATGCCTTATTTTTTCTTCTTCTGGCCTTCCACAGCATCTGGAGGTCACAGGTGACCTGAAAGAAGGAGCAACAGCTTTACATACCAAACTTGGCAGGATCTGGGCAAAGACAGATTTACAGTTAAGTGGTAGTAAACTATAGGGTATCTATTAAATAGTCACTTATGACCCATCACATAATGACAAGAGGGTGAGTGTTGGCTATCAAAATAACAAGACAATGTTTTCTTATATGCCAGAAAAAAAACCACAGCAGCCTGAAATAGCTCCTGTCTGATGGTCTGCTGCTACATACTAAAATCATAACATCATAGAATAGTTTGGGTTGGAGGGGCCTTTAAAAGGTCGTCTAGTTCAACCCCCCTGCCATGAGCAGGGACATCCCCAACCAGAGCAGGGTGCTCAGAGCCCCGTCCAACCTGACCTGGGATGTTCTCAGGGATGGGGCATCCACCACCTCTCTGGGCAACCTGGGCCAGGGGTTCACCACCCTCATCGTGAAAAATTTCTTCCTTGTATCTAGCCTAAATCTACCCTCTTTTGGTTTAAAACCATCACCCCTTGTCCTATTGCTACGGGCCCTGCTAAAACGTGCCAAGGAGATAACAATTCTCTCATTTGCTTTGTCTGGGAAGCTGCACTTGTCCCTTAGGGACCCTTATTCACGGATCCAGACCACATGTAACCTTCTCCTTGTGTAAACAAGAAATGGATTTGTCTTTTCTGCAGCAGCTCTTCTTCTTCCTGTAAGACATTCTCATGCCCAGTTCATATATCCCCTGTGATTTCACCAGTTACACTTGACACTGGAACGCACTCATCTCTAAAAATAATTTGTAGCTGACAGTTTTTATTTAATGTCATTATAACAATGACCTCTAGCACTGTTATAGTTAACGGCCTATAAGCATTTCCATTACAAACCCCACTTTCCAGGTGCTTCAGCATATCTATATAGCTGTAAAACCACTCTCCAAGGCTAAAATGTGGCGTTCAGAGCTTCAGGGAATTGGGGAAGAAATCGTTTTACAAATTTGAAACCCTAAAAGTGCTAAACTTCCAGAAGTTAATAGTTTCTGACCTTTCTGAGATGAAAAATTAAAAAAGCCTAGTTTTATCAGGTGATGGCGTGTAGGCTACAAGAGGCAAACATGTCCCCAGCTCGCGACTCCAGTCATCGGGCTGCTCCCTGAGGACATTTGCTGGGGACCTAACGGGGAGCAATTTGCCTCCCCGGCAGGGTGACAGCAGAGGGGCTCTGTGGGTGCTTCTGCTATTGCCTCGTGCCGCTGAAATGCCTCTCTTGAATATACAGCCAGGGAACTCAGCTTGTGCCCACCTCTTCCACAAGCTTCAGGCTCAAGACGACCTTGTGAAGAGGATGCCTCTGCAGCTGAAGGCAGCTTTAGCCTGCTAAGTTTGCGCTCAGAATCGTTCCATTTTTCTCTTGGAAATTCGTTTAGAAAGAGAACCTAACCTGCAAAGGGCAGTACTGAAGATGATACTCAGCCAGCTGCTTCTGCCTGTGTAATCAGGATTACATGAGACGCCGGGGTGGTTTACTGCTCTTAGGCCCACAGAAATGTCTCCAGGAATGATCCAGGCTGTTTTATAGCGAGTGCATCATCAACAAACCTGTCAGCTAAGTTCCAGCTGGAAATCTGCAGCAGTGTAAGAACCTGACACTCTCTGTGAACGTACGGATCAAGAGAAAAAAATCTCATTCAGTGAAAAAATAGAACGGACATGATATAGTAACCCCTGAGCCAGAACTATATAACAGAGAATCGCAGGAGTAAAAAGAAAAACACATAAAGTCATTTTTACAGTTACTTACTGCAATTTAACATTTCTTTGTGCTTATCTATCGCAGTGAATGTTTGGACAGTGGATGATTTTTCATTCTACATGTGCTTAGGAGCAACAATACTCATTTTATATCAGAGATACTGAGCCTTAATCTTGGCACTACACCTTATGTACAAAATTCTATAATAATTTCAATCCAGGTTTTAAGCCAATTAAGCATACCGTTCATGACAAGTTTACTCAGCTATCTGGTGTGATTACCGATGCAAATGAGGTGATTTTGTACGCTGTTACCACAATTACCATTTTTAGATTCTGTTCATCACTGATGGATGCTGCTCCTGCAATAACAGGTATAAGCTGACTATTGTCCCAGCTGAACACAGGTATTGTGCCTAATATGTTTAGAAATCAGCTATTGACATAGTTGTTTAGATGTAAAATATTGGCGGTTTCCTAACACACCTTCTCCGATTTCTTAGCTCTGTTTCCAAAGGAAATGGCATTCCGAGTTTCTGTTGTCCGTACGTGTGTGCGAGTGTTTCTCTTCCTACCTATCTTAAAAGCTTTGGAATATGTGTTATTAACCACATCTGCCAGTGGGCTATGAGGTGTAGAACGTCTTAAACGCCCGTGTTTTGTAAAAGAGTTTGGCTGGAGCAGGCTAAAGAGACTCAAATTAGTGTCTTGAGAGGGGGAGGCTGCTGAGGGAGCTGTGCCGGCTTATTAAATAGCCAAGGACTTACATGAGGTAGGATGGGGTGAATGTTTGAACCACAGGAGCAGTTTTGCTCAGAGCCTGCACTTTATTAGACATGCAATAATCCAACAGCCCTCATAATTCCAGCTGTTCCCGAAATTGTGGTTTTATAAATTAAGAAATACTGATTTCAGATTAAGACAGAGAGAGAATTCTCACGCTCTCGGCAATGAGAAATCTTCTGAAAACCTGTGAGGGCTTCTTGTTTTGTCTGCAGTTTGTCCCGCCGGCCTCTACGGACACCACTGCAGCCAGCCGTGCCCGCAGTGTGCGCACAGCAGCGGGCCGTGCCACCACGTGTCAGGACACTGCGACTGCTTGCCTGGCTTCTCGGGCGCTCTCTGCAACCAAGGTACCGAGCCCGAGACCCCAAATGCCACCTCCTCTCCTGTGTCTGTGTCTGTGACTCTGCAGCGAGGCCGATCACAAGGTTCCTGCCCTTTTTCCTTGTTTCAGCCGTTTAGATCACAAGAAATTCTTTACTTCAGAGGGAAAATGCAAATAGGTACTTGGTCGCCCTTTTGTAAATGCGATGTGCTCCTGCTTTCATAAATAAAACAGGTCTGCTGCTCTGTATTGAAATGGATTTGCTGTAAATGCATCAGCCTTCCAATGGTTTCATTTTCCTTTCTGCTAAGCCTCTCATGCCCGAAACGTCGACGGCACCTTCATGCCCTCTTTTAAAGGTACTAGTTAGGGTAAAAGCCAGCTCAGCTGCACAAGCCCAAACACCCAGTTACTGTGTGGAACCTTATTTACACTCTCTAGGACGTGACTGGGAATGGCTAAAATCGTGTGCACCCGAACACAAGTGCAGGAGACAGAAAAATTTGCAGTGAGGCAGGGAAAGCGAGTTAATTTTCACAAGTGAAGAGTAACTTCAACTCCCCCTAATGTCCGTCACCCTTCTGTACCTTTGAACGTTACTCCACTTTTAGCCATAGGTTTCATTTTCTGTTTTGTCCTAAAAGTGCCGTCAAAATCGTTACGTTATTCTGCAGGGTCTCAGTTACTGCATACTGCTGTGGATATTTCTACATACAGATTTAAAAGCGATTATTTGTAATGGCTACTGCCCTTGTGAAGTCACCATCCCTGTGAAAATTGAACTGACACTTTTTAATGACCTGCTTTTCAGTAAGTCAGAAATTGCAGGCAGCGCTTATGCGAAATCATTAAACGTATATTAAGTATAAGCGTGTTTTCTTTTTCCTGTGCTGTATTGTCAACTAAACATTATACCAATTAATTTATTAAAATGAACATATTTCGGTGAATGTGTCCATTTTATGTGAAAAATTAGCCAGATTTCAACACGTAAGCAGGGCTAATTATCCTCTTAAGAAAACTATTTCATTTTTGCTCAGATGTCCAGCACTTCTGGTTTTACTTTGAAATGTTGATCTATCCAGCAAATTAATTTTAAAATATTCATGTCCTAATTAAAATCAATTTATGTTGCAGTTTGTCATAATGAGTTAGCATGTAACTTTATTTTGTAGAAAGAAAAATGCTAATTAATGTTTTCCATTAGAAAAACGTGAAACAAAGATTTCACTCTTGAATTTCCATTTCCTTGTGCCCTCTCTTTTCTGGCAGCGGGAACATTCTTCCGTCAGCAGCACGTGCATGCGAGGAGCTGTGTACCCTCTGGAATTGTACGGGTTGACATGGTTGTGCTAAGGATTCTGAGCAGCAAACAACTAAGCAGCTGTTTTATGAATATCTTTCACAATCATGTAGCAAGATAGATTGATAACAACTTGTTATCGCTGCTAGAACACACCTGACATCCCACAGGGAATTTCGGAGTTCCACTTCAGAGCTTTTATAGCTAATTAACATCGCTATCTGCATTGCACAATCAGCTTGCTCCCGAAGGAAGCGGTATTAGTCTTTACAGCTTTGTTTAAAAACGTTTCAGACATTTGAAAAAGTGCTTGTATTTGGATCTCGCATCTTTACGAGATAGACACTGTGTCAATCCACAACCAGGTTACTTACTTTAATGAGAACCACCATCCCGGCAGGATCGGTTTTGCAATCCTTCCGTGCTGACATTCAGGAGGGCATCACACTATTTCACTGCGACGAGCAGTGCCCACACGGTGGGAAGCCCTCTGCTAGCTCTCACAGTGTGGAACCGAAGCATTTCTTTTATAAAGTATGACCTGTTGCCTTTGTCAGCATCACAAATCTTTTCCTGATTCGTAAGTATTCCATGTTGCAGTGCAAATCCGTTCCTATTTTAAGCCAGTCTTTTAAGAACTATTTTTTTGTACGTATAAAAGAATCCGGCCTTCATTTAAGTGATGTTATCCATCTCCGTCTTAAAGATGCAATAAAAATATTCCATTGAATTGGAACTGAATAATGGTGTAGCATGTATGAGAACCTAGGCTGATGGATCATCTTAGTTTTTACTCTTTCTGTGACATGAGGGCTTTTCTTTCCTTCTCGCTCTTTCTCTTCGTGTCTGTGTATTGTTCTTTTCATTGTGTCTGTATATTGTGTTTAGTTTTATCTTTTTTCAGGTAGAGAACTATTCTGTTTAGCACATAATTTGAAAGCCAAAACCAGCTTTATCCACTCTTACAGATAAGCCCATAGTATATAGAAATGCATGCAGAAAACAATAGTATGGTTTCTGCCATAGTAAGAGTAGAGAGTGGCATATTGTATAAAAGCAAATGAATCACAGCTCAGGATTTCAATCTCTGGCTGATTCACAGTCAGGATAGATTGAGGTCACCGGCAGAGACTACATATGAGAAAGCGAGAGTGGCTGAAGTGGTAAAACAGTTGCATAATTCAGGGAATTGCCTTAATCACTTTTTTGACATCACTATTATTTACCAGGATACAAGTCCAGTTCCATTTGTAACATTCTTTGCAAAGATGGACTGTATGTTTTATCTTGTTTTGAAAATACATCTGTTTTTGTCAGGGAACACAGCCAATAAGAGCACAGAAATTAAACATTTCATTCATTACTGAGCAGAGCTTTCCATCAACTTTAACGTTAAAGATTTCCAATAATTTGGTGGGAGGTTGAAGATCTACGTGTCTATTAGTTTTATGTCACTGTGCTTTGGCTGTTATAAGATCACCCTGGAAAAAATTTAGAGTTTCTTTCCTTCCAACTTCAGGAGTAAGCTAGGTAGACACACAGGAATAGACGCTGACTTTGTTAGGATGCAACACATCAATTTAACAACTCTCAGTCAAACATCTACATAATCCTCGGAAACCACATTTGCGACCTAATTGAACACTTCCTGCAGCAAGGGGTACCGGAGAGGAATAGGGGGATGGATGCCAAAAGAGAAGCATGACATTTCAGCAGTTGGGTATGTGCTTTATTTGTGGGAGCAGTCTTCTGCCAGACTTAACGGTTAAAATACTTATGGAAGTGGCAGTCTTGCTCCTGGTTTACCAAGTTTGCATGACTTGACTCTGTGGGATACTGGGAGCCTGCCTCCCACCAACATTGCTGAAAACTGGCCTCCAGCAAAGCCCGGTGTATGTAGTAGCAAAGGCACCTTCCTCTCTCCCCGCTCTTTGGTCCGGAAGGAATGAGGACAGTGATGAGGTAGGTACTCTAGCACACCCAATATGGCAGCGCTGCGTGGTGCATGATGCGTTTTGTGGTGCTAGTGGGATAGCAAGTCCTTTCCCCAAAGGACTACAGCTCTTTCAGCCTCTTCTTGCAAGCTTATCTGCCATCAGCCATTTCAAGGGCACTGGCCTCCTAGTACAATACCCATGGCTAGCGTGTCAGGCCGTCATACCGGCTGGTCAGGTTTGCAGCTTTTGATCCATTATGACTGTCTTTATCAGTTGTACAACACGAGGGAGTTAGGTTCTAGTGACTGACCTGAAAGTAAGAGTCCCCATTGCTCTTCATCTTCTTGAGACTTCTCCACTAGGCTGATACTTAGCCTAAAATGTTCCTTTCCTACTTTTGTGGTTCTTATCGTTGAGGCTGTAATCCTCTGAGCCAGTGCAGAACCCTATTTCAGGGTTTGCACCAAAGGACACACTTGACCAACTCCCCAGCTCAATCCCTTCCAGACACTTACTTGTGTTTGCTACTACTTTTTGAATTCTCCTCAACTTTACTTGTTCTCTTCCTCTCCCAGTAACCCCTCCATTTCCTCTTGTCCTATCGCTCAATCCCTTCCAGACACTTACTTGTGTTTGCTACTACTTTTTGAATTCTCCTCAACTTTACTTGTTCTCTTCCTCTCCCAGTAACCCCTCTTCTCTGTTTTGTCTCTCCTCTTTTCATCCTTCTGCAATGCCCTTCAATAACTGTAATCTTCTAACTATGTTAGATTAATTTTCCAGCAGAAATATGGATTTTTGAGATTACTTTTTCCTGTTGTCTTTATGCCTGGGATGTAAGCAAACAAAATGGACTTGAACACTTTCTGCCTTTTCCTTCTTTCCGGAAGACTTTTGCTCATTTGGCTTCAGCAAAGAAAAATGCTGCAGTTCGTTACTTTTTTATCTCTAATTGCTAAATGTTAAGCCCTATGACTTCCTCATATTCATTAGGAAGAGCCTTCAGTAAACTGCCTTATATCTTCACAGTCTGTCCCAGCGGAAAATACGGGAAGAACTGTGCCGAGGCCTGTCAGTGCACCGAGAACGGGACGTGCAATCCTATTGATGGATCGTGTCAGTGTTTTCCAGGCTGGATAGGGACAGACTGCTCTCAGAGTAAGCAAAGTGTTATTTTTCCATCTCCACTTTAAAATAACATATTTTCCTGTTTAGTGTTTTCTGAAAGTTAAAGGCAGATTCTGGGGAAATCCCTGAAGTATTACAGCAGCCAGTGCCTTACTCTCTTTATAGCTTATTTCTTTTAATTACTCTAAGTTAGCTTTGGCTTGAATTAGTTTCTGCATTTGGAATTTGCAGAAGCCGTTACTAGCTTCTCTTACAGGAAAGGGAGGTCACAAGCCCTTTTCAGAAAAGAAAGCTCCATGCTCTCTTTTAATTTCTAGGTGGATTCCCTTTTATTTATTTTTTGAAATCATTTTCTTTCAGCTATTACATTAGAAATGATTAACCAGTAAATGTTTTCATGTTCCAAGCCCCCAGAATTGAAAAATTAGGCAGCTGAAATATTTCTATTAAATGTAATTTAATTGTAAAAGTCAATGTGGGCTTGGAGGGATGGAGGATTTCTTCTTGAAAATTGCCCAGGTGGAAGATTGGCATTTGCTGATCCCAAAGTGTCATTTCCTGAGAGCATCCCTTAATTGAAGATAGATCACAGAGGGAAGCAATATCCTATCATTCAGAAATGTTACTTCATATTCAGGATACAACTAGCATATTAGACAGCATTCCAGAGTAAAATATATTAAACTTCAAGTGATAAAGTAGGAATCGGATAAAAACAGACAGCTGTAATTTTGTGTGTCTTCCACAGGCAGAATATTGCTGTCACTCAAAAACAGAAAAAAAAAAAAAAGACAGAAAGCTCCACAGACTCCTCATTATATTTAGCCATGTAATTGGGAAATGACTTCGTTTCTGTTAACCTTGAAAAAAGATGTTTTTTCTTACAGAGCAAGGCAGGTCAGTTCAGCAGCAACCATTTCCAGTTTAGCAGACAGAAGGACCTGGTGACAGCTACTTCGTATTTTGGATGAACGAAGTGGGAACCTGTTTCCTCAGTTACCTTCTTGTAAAGAAGGTGTAAACCTCCCAAGGTGAACCTGGCCCCACACCAGGCTCCTGCCGGAACCTGGCTTGGCACACCCAAGCCCGGTGCGGAGTTACTTCGGTCAGACCTCCCTCCGCACCAGTTAACCTGGAATGACCGAGAGACGGGGCTGCAGAGGAGATGATTTCAGCTCCAACTCCAGAGCCAGTTCTGGAGACTTTAACAGACCCCGCAGCTCTGGCTTGCAAAGGCATTGCAAATGTATTTCTGGTTGCTTATAGCACGAATACCTTAGGCCAAATCCTGTTCGGCTTTACATTGTGTGAGTTCAGTGACCTTTTGTTTGATTTATGTCACGGCAGGGGTTTTTTTGCTGTTCATTCTGGCTTTAGAGGTGTCTGTCATATGCCAGAAACTCGCATTTATCGTCAGAACTGGAGCCAATGGCATACGTGGAAATAGGCACGGTTTCTGTACTTTCAGGTTTCCTGGGAACCATGCCTTATTAATTCATGTCTTTAATAGGAAGCAATGGAAAGTGCTTTTTAAAGCAAAAATATAGTTGTTATATTGAAGGGTTATCATAATTCTAGATCTTCTAGTCTGGCACTAATAACTGTAACTTACTGCATTCATTTTTGGAGGGAGGCTTAAAATAACTTTTGAAAATGTATTAATATTGTACTTGTTGAAATATATAATAGACCTGGAGATTTTAATTTAATATTAGCCCCATCAACAAAAGCAATCTGATTTGGTGGATGGGAATTCATACTGTAAGAAGTTTTCTTTACATTTTTACGTATCTGAGTAGCACTCTATGCTTCAAATGAATATGGTAATTTTAGTAGTTGATTGCAGAGCAAAAGTAAACCATGAATAGCTGTGCTTTATTATGCAAGAATTCCAGAATATGAAAGAGAAAATTAAATTACCTCCATATCTTAAAACCCTGTATAAATTGCCTTCACAGATAATGCCAGTAAGGCAAGGAGAGTGGCTAGAGCACTTAGAGTGCCGAGGGTTGCTGTTTCAGTGGTTCTCAGGCCACATGTGCAGCAAAGACCTGATCCTGCCACCAGACTGACCTACACGGCAAGAAATCCCTTGTGCCGGGGCTTGACAGCGTGGGTGAGGTTGCAGGTTGGCACGTGGCTTTGCAAAGCGATCGTTGGCTTGGAAGAACCGCTGCAGCGATGCCAAGCTCTGCAATGCCGAGTTCTGCCCTTGGTGGTGTCTCACAGGTTCTCCCTTTATTGGTGTTCCTCCGCAGCACTAACGCAGTATCGTCCCTTTTTTTGTCAGCTGACAAATCTTTTTTTATTTTCATAGCGTGTCCCACTGGTTTTTGGGGCCCTGATTGCTTTCATTCATGCAACTGCCACAACGGAGCAATGTGCAGCCCTTACGATGGAGAATGTAGATGTACTCACGGTTGGACGGGGCTCTACTGCACGCAGCGTAAGCCATTCAGAGACACTGTCGGGCCAGGGAATCTGTCAAAGTATGTGCTGCTACCTCGTGTCTCTTCCAAGTATTGCAGCCTTCCCTCTTAAACCATCCGCTGCTTGTGGTAACTTCACACCACCCCAAAGAAATAGTCCCGAAGCTTTGCAAGGTGTTTTATGCCTTTGGCACCCGATAAAGGAGGGAGCGATCATTTAGACTGTTGATTAATTGTCAGAATTTGCACAGTCTGTGTCCCTCTTTGTTAAAGCCCCAGTATATGTGGTCTGATTTAGGAAAACGTTTGAGATTTCTCATCCTACTAAGTGCCAAATTATCACCGCTGTACGAAAGCGGAGGTCAAATTCCAGTGAGCCTTTTAAGAAGGCTCTTTCACTTGCAAGTAATTGATTGATCTCTGGCCTTTTAGACAGTTTCTGTTCAGACATCTTCTTTCACTTCTTGAAAATGTCGTTTGTACAGATGGGTCAAGTTTTCATTCTTGTGAAACACTTCAGAGGCAATTCTGCAAGATATGAGAAACCCTACTTCACGAAAATTGGCTGTTGGAGTATCTCTGCATTTAGATGATCAAATAAATGTTATTAAATGGACAGAGGCTGAAAATCCATAGATTTATAGGCCTACATATTTTGTGCTGAGAACGCATCTGAGTTTGTGTTTCAGCTTATTTCTTAGTCTTTCCTATTCTGATTCCTGAAAGGTTGCCCAGCTGCTTTTTATGGAAAAAACTGTGCCAATGTTTGCCAGTGTCAGAACGGAGCGGACTGTGACCACATCACTGGCCAGTGCACGTGCAGGACGGGATTTACAGGCAAACAATGCGAGCAAAGTAAGTAGCAACATGGCTTCATTTTTCTATTTCTCTGGGGGAGGGTTGTATTTCAGAATTCTCTGCAGAAATAGGCTCTTAAATGAGGTGTTGACATCAGCAAGACAGTAACCTCAGGCACTCTCCACAGGGAGAATAAAGTATCTCTAGAAAGCTGGACAGTCTGTTTAAGCAAAAAGAAATACAGTGAATCCTCTGCAAACCAGCCCTTTCCATTCCCAGCCCAAAGTTAGGTGAGATAAAAGCAAGTCACTGCACTCAGCGCTGACTGGTTGTCGCCTTCCCAAACAACTTGTGCCTAATTAATAGAAAAACACAAGCCGCATCATGCCTTGCTAACTTCCTTGGAAGCAGCAGCAGCAGGTTTCCCTAGGCACGAAGGAAGCCAGCGGGATTAAAAGAAAGCAGTCCTTTCAGCTCTGCCTTCCAAGGAATATTGGGGCTTTCTTGCACAAGTTGTTAGCGATAGATGTGGACCAAATAAAGATTCATCTTTACAATGAAAACAGATCAAGGAAAACAAAAGTTGCTGCCATTTTTAGAAGGGTCTGTGTTTAACTTGAGTAGTGAGCAAGTGTTTAACAATGAACTTCAATTGCCTTGCAAGGGTACTGGCATACCTTACTGTCATTGTTGTCAGTGCCTTGCTGGCGTATTTAACATGCCGTGCCAAATGGCTTCTTTTAAGAACAAGGAATTAGGGTAGAGGAAACTCTGCGTGCTGTAGTTGAATAATTACTTGTTTGTCCAGTATAGTAAATCAAAAGAAAATTCTTACACGCTTAGTTGGATTCTAAACGCAGGGTGAAATCCGTCTCACCTTACCAGGGCATTAATTCCACAGGGTTTCCTTCCTTTTTTTGGCAGTAAGGTAATACAGTAGCAGTTCTGCTAGATTTGCAAGTGAAAGCTTCTTAAGAGTAGCTTACTACGTGGGTCTTTATGAAAGTATTTGCACATATTACTAAATTCATTAACATATTCTCTTTTTGCACATACTTGCATTCAGCAAAGCATGTATCTCAGGACCAAATTTGCATGCTCATGTGGGGATTATATATGGCACCACTGTAAGTCTGTAAGTGGCCAATATATTGTGAATTTGTGTACACCCTTACTGCAATCATAAAATAGGAAACTAAGAAGTTCCATAGTAGAACTGCTTCATAGCAGATTTTCTACAAGAAGCTACATTTATAATTTCACCTCTGTACAAAGCCTGAGGCTTTCTTTTCTATCCAAACTACTAACGTATTTATTTCTTTGTTTTTCTACTATTTAATCTAAAAGCATCTCTTCATTAACACTCCTTCCTTCTCAAAATCCTGAAAAACTGCTGAACGGGCAGTCACACCGCATTGCAGATGAAATGCCTAAATGCAAACATTGTTTCTGCAGTGCAGTCCAAAGATTTAGACCTTATTCATTTTAAGTAGGCTACAGGTTAATATTAGAATAAGCATTAATTGTGATAATTTTGTGTTTCCTTTTTTGGGGACCTGCAGATGAAAGAAAGAGATACAACTTTACTACGCACTGCAAATCATTATACAGATACTGGCTACTGTTCATTACTCAGTATTAAATTTTGGCTACTAGAAGTTACTTAGAGAGTGACTTTGGGAAGGTATCGTCATGCCATGGAAAACATTTACAGTGACACACAAGAAGTCACATCTCAAAACAAACGATACATATTCTGCAGAATCACAGCAAGTGTGCATGCATTCAATAATGCGTCTTCTCCATGGAAATAAGTAGGAAGTGACAGAAGTTGTTTCTTCCAATTTATTATTGAACAGTGCCTCAAGAAGTATAGTAAGCTGCCTACGGATTTATTGTAACAGCCCATCATGGTAATTATATGAATAAATTTCTCAGCTGGACATTCAGTCATTTTCTCTCTGATAGAAATACAAAGGCAGGATAGAAATTCCTTCTATATTAGGAATCCTAGTACAGAAGCAGAGCACATCAAACCATTCAGATGCTCAATTCTGTTATTCCACCTACAATGAAAAATTCATCTTCTGGCACTAGTAGGGATAAGTATGAAAGCATGCAGGATTTGTTTGGTAAAAGTCTATTGTGTTCATCTTAAGGTACATTAAAACTTTTCTTTGCAACTACTCCCATTAAAAAAATATGCAGAACTGGTGGAGAATGCTATGCTCTTTCAAGATGTTGCCTACAACTTCAGAGTGCATGCCCTGTTAAATTCTGTACACTAGTAATATATGTCAAGCCTTTTAAAGTCTCTGTACATATTATTGGTTGCATGCTTGTGAAGTCTTGTATGACTTTTCCAGAAAGTTACAGCTTGATAAGTAATACCCGAAATTGTACATGAAATACATTTATCTCCTGCTTTAAAATAATAATAATCTAACACTACAGTGTTATCCTAGAGACACTGAAACCAGAGAGACTTTTCTGCCGAATTTTCCATGGCAGGCGTTTTACTTGTCCCCCAAAAAAGTAGAATTGTTTCCAATCTTTTTCTTTGGCTTCCCAGAGTGCTCACCAGGAACATTTGGTTATGGTTGCAAACAACTATGTGAATGCATGAATAATGCTACGTGTGACCATGTCACAGGTACTTGCTACTGCAGTCCAGGCTTCAAAGGAATCCGATGTGATCAAGGTACAGTGAAATTCTATCTGAAAAAGATCTATATTATTATATCTCTCTTTCTCTCTCTGACCCTGCAATAATGTACTTGCATTAAAAAAGTAGTATTTAAAAAATGGAATGCACGAGTCAATTTACAGTGTGTTATGAATTACTTTTAACAGCGGCTCTTATGATGGAAGAATTAAATCCCTATACTAAAATTAGCCCTGCTCTTGGATCAGAGAGGCACTCAGTGGGAGCAATCATTGGAATTATTATTCTCCTTCTAATTATTATGGTCTTGCTGGCACTGTTTGTGTGGTATCGACGGAAACAGAAGGAGAAGGGCCATGACATGCCAAGTGTGTCTTATACTCCAGCCATGAGGATGACTAATGCAGATTACTCACTTTCTGGTAAGGGTCTTTTTATGTTAATCAAATATAGACTCGTATTCCTGTATGTTGGGGAAATACAAGCTTCTGTGATGTATAACATGCGTTACTGAGCCTCAGAAATAACGACACCTCTGTTCTTCCCCTGAATACCATGATCTTTAGCACTTAACAGGTACAGGATAAAACTGATTTAAGCTGCTTTATATATGAAAGTTTACTTAACACAATACAGGGTATATCTAGTCAAGAAATACGCTGCATGGAATACATCAACTCCATGTTTTTTAAATCGGCTGCATTCCATTGGCAGTACAGAGTTTTCCCTTTGTGAAACTTTCAGAAGATGACTTATTTCGCTTGAGGAATGGGATTGACTGGGTCAATCATAAGGTTTTATTTTTGTCTATGTTGCAGTTTGTGATTTGAGGCATCCTGTTCATTGCCACTTTCTTCTTTGTGCAGACCAATCTCTGTCATCTTGACAGCTGGTGTGAATTTGCTTCACAGGAGCTGATGAAAGCAGGAGAGAGGAAGAGGAAGGCTCTTTAAGATGAAAAAAAAGTCATACTGAGATCACATTTCTTGCTTCTTTCTATCTTCTGCCAGTGCTATGGAGGACAGCTTTTCTTGACGGATTGGCTAAACTTTGGAGGACGTGATCTCCTTTTTAACGCTGTCATTCTTCTTCATTCCTCTATGGCCAATATCAGACAGGATGCCAGACAGGAGATGGCTTTACTTCCTTCTTGCTTCCTCCAGTCTGTCTCTAGTGGGGATCTCCTTGGGGTTTGCCGCCTTCTGACTGCACCTTGCTGCTTCACTTCTCTTTAAACATCTGAAACTGTAAGACCAATTAAATATAAGCTCCTGAAACAGGCCGAGGTTGGCCTAGCAGCTCTGCTTTCCCAGTCCTGCATGGCCTTTCTCTTTCTGCTTTCTAGTCTAAAAGCCTGAGGCCCAACCACGTGTTGCTGGCTCTGACCTGGCTTCTGTGCTGTCTCAAGGTGGCATGGCTGGAATCTTCCTTTGGTCTGGACTTCCTTGCCCAGGAGGCACCTGGAAGGAGCCTCTGCCACCAAGCCAACAATATTGCTACCTGGGTACAGCTGGAATTTAGTCAAGGAGCTTCTCTCAAGGCTCCACGACTTCAGTCCTCATATCAGGGGCATGGTTTCCTGCGATGACGCATCACACATCAGGGGCTGTCTGCTGAACACCATTGACTAAACTCGTATTTAGACCACTCAGGCCTATACTAGAGCATTCCTTCTTCTGACAGCTACAAGATGGGGGAAAAAAAATCAGCCTTGGACCTCCTCCCATTGCCTCTTATTTTTGAATTTTAGCTTTGCGGGCTCTTGCTTAAGCTGCCCATTTGGGTAAGAAATGTATGAAAGTGTTGCCAAAGAAGGCTCGTCTGATGCTTGGCTAGTTTCCAGCACAATTTGGCCTGAAATTTGTCATTTCAACATCATTTGAAGAGCCAGAACCTGAACACGCAAAAGGCAACTGTGGCACATCTCAGCAGCACTGAGGCTCTGAGTTCCGAGACAGCAGATCACAGCCGCTGGCATGGAAAAATGTTCTGAACTTTTCAGCAATCCATTTCTTTCAGATTGGCACTTTATCCGTCTATTTACGAAGCCTGCTACACCTCATTTATTTCTGTGCTTTTCTAGTTAATGTATGTGTAACCCAGCCTGCTTTAGAGGCACAAATTACAAATTTCAAAATAAGGAAAGGAATATTGCTGAGGTTGGGAGTTCCTGACTGGAGTAATTGAGCTTCTCCTTTCAGACAAGGGAACAAAAATCCCTCGCTTCTTTTTTCTCCATATTTTACCATGAATGGAGACTTCCCAATCAACCTGATGGTATCCCAGTCTGACACTGAAAGAAGTCTGAAAAAAGGCCAATGCTGAGAAAGCATACTCTCACCCTTCAAAGTTAACATAGACAGCTGACTTTCCTCCTCAGCCACAGAGAGAAAGGCATTAGGTTTGAAGACATTGGTAGCCCAGGACTGTCCTTGCAGGTTCTGTCTTTGAGGGCATTGCATCTCCCTATACAATGTTCTTCACATTCCTTTCAGGTGCAGCCACCTACCCCAGAGGTCCTGATGCCACATGATCCTTAAGTACTTGAGAAAAAAAAATATTTGGGGGGTGACTGAATTCCTGGATATGTCATAAATATCTGAGGGATCACATCCTTCAGCTGCACTGAACCTGGGATCTCTTCTGGTCCTTGGGCAATGACAGTGAATTTGATTCTTCCCCTTGTGGCGTTTCTGCTTTGTGTCAGCTCAGTTTGTAAAAAACCTGAAGTACCAGGTCCTTGCAATCCCAAACAGCACCAGGTCAGTGGTGTTGTATGGGCTTCTCTAGAAAGAAATTTGATGTTTCCTTCCCATTCATCTCAGTCGGTGATGGGGATGCAGAGACTGGCCCTTTTTCTTTCTTCTTTCTTCTTTCTTCTTTCTTCTTTCTTCTTTCTTCTTTCTTCTTTCTTCTTTCTTCTTTCTTCTTTCTTCTTTCTTTCTTCTTTCTTTCTTCTTTCTTCTTTCTTTCTTTCTGCAGTCTTTGTAGCAATAGAAATTTTATCACCTAGGAAGCTACAGCTGAGTGGGATCAGCCATCTCTTTCTGGAGGTCACAAGAACAGTTTTCTTCCTGCCTCCCCCTTGAAAAACTCTGCTCTCTGAGCTTGCAGAGGCAGACTAAGAAGTTAGAAATCACACTGCTCCATCTTCATCTCATTATAAATTGTCTGCAGGTATCAGCATTGTTTCAAGTTTTGGTCTCTGTTTTAGAAGGTCATTTACAAATTCTAGACAAGGGCTTCTGAAAGCTCCCTGCCAAATTCTGACTGTCCTCCAGTACATTCTGCTACTGAAACTTTCTACCCATCAGGAACTTTCCCAGCTTTGGCCTTACCAATGCTGTTTTCAGCCTTTCACTTCCATAGAGCAGAAAGGCAGCAAAAAGTGCTGGCAGGCATCTTCCCCAGCAGAAAATGGTGAGGTGGATACTGAGCCAAGATCACAGATAAGAAACAGACACTCAGAGCATGGCTGGATGGCAAGAACAACACGGGTATATATGAGTGCGTGTGTGCATGTGTGCGTTGCAGAGGATGCTGAAGGACAGTAGCAGTATTACATGGAGGTAACAGGGGTTTCAACATTCACCTGGAGTTTTGTATGGGGATTAAGGGCAGAACACTATGCAGATGTACTTGCCCAATTAATATAATCCCGTGTAATCCCATAGACTTTGGCAGGAATTCCACCTGAACGTCGACTGCAGTATCCAGCCCTATATGGGTCGTAACGTTATGGCTAACCCGAATCACCACTGTTGATATTTTGCTCGTTTACTCTTGTTAGAGTAGTGGTGGTGGTGTTTCTGAAGAGAGTCACATATGCAGATTCCTAGCTTCCGAAGGCAGTAATTTCTTCCAGCCTATTAATTTATTTCTGGAGGATGTTTTTGGTCTTTACGTCTTCAGCTCTTCTGATGCTGATAATCCGTACATATGTGTGAGGAAGATGATAAGGAAGGGGAACCCCCTGGGCAGCCCTTAGACTCTTTTGCTTTTGTGGATGAAGGATATGGCAGCAAAACACACCCTCTGCCCAGCAGCCAGTGGGAAAGAAAACCACCCATGCTGGGAGAGCTTAACCACAGCACATGGATCTGAGAGCAGACTTTCCCAAACAAGCCTGAAATCAAAATGGCACTCCCCAGCTTGAGAATGGCACATTGCATCCAGAAAAAGATTTTGAAGTGCAGGTTGTTTAATTCAAGGAAATGGGGACAGAAGGGAAAAGAAGGCGGTAGCACTGGAGAGCAGCAGAGATTTCTTTTCAGGACTTTCACAAAGACTTGGTTATGGGCTGAAGTGATGCTTGAGGTCTTATCGAGGTCTTAAAAACTTTCTGGTATGAGTGAATCCTATGCTGAGAGCCAAGATCTAAGCAAAGCTCAATACAAATAGAGCATCATGGATCCCGCAGCCTAGACAAGACATTTAGAGAAATGATCTGCAGATGATGTGTAGTAGGAGGTGGCAGAGTGAACCCTCCTGTTTGGAGTCTTCAGCCACCCCACTGACAGTCTGTATGGGTGGAGAAGATCCACACAAAAAGAAGAAGAAAACAGTTCCATTTTGCAGCTCAGATTTCCAGGTTTGTATTTACTGCAGAATGCTTACTTATTCCCGTTCTCCACGGTTGGCCTCGTGCCCCATTTCCTCACTACACTGCCCTGCTGCCTCTGCAGGATGGGGACCGATGCTCTTTGTGTCACCCCACAGCCCTGGCTCGGAGCAGAAGCTCAGTCTTTCAAGCGATAGAGCGTTCTGGCCTTCATCCAGACCTCACGCGTCTTCCACTGGAGCGCAGCCTCAGGCTTGAAGGGCTCACGGCAGGATGCTGCCATCAAGGGTCCCTTCACAGGACTGATCTCCCCGTGTTAAGATTAACATAACCTTTGCAGTTTTTTTGCTTTGTTTTAATTTAAACCATTCCCTTTCTTTTAGGCATTTAAGTCTTTGCTTACTGTTCAGAGCAGAATAAAATTCTCATCTTTGGGAAGAGAGGGGTTTTTGTGGGTTGTGGGCTTTTTTGGTTTGTGGTTTTTTTTTAACTGGAATAGCATTAGATTTGAATTTGATGTATTTCCAGCCAGCAGTTATAAGGGCTTCATGAATAAATGTGTAGAAAATGGACTGTGCTATCAAGGTAAAACAGCCTGGGTGGGTACTTAAGTATCGACCAAATGGGACTGTGTAGAAGGAGTAATTCTGAGTGCATGGTGCTGCATGCAATGAAGGAAGAAAAGATTTTTGGTGATGCAGACTTGCGTACGAGCTCAGACTCATTAATTCAGCACTGTGCTTAGTAGGGCAGTCTGGCAGACTTTTCCTTCCGCTCATTCTGGGTGCACAAAACAAGCTACGGCCAGATAAGCTGGGTGTGAACTTGTAAGGTGTCAGCTGGCTCACGGTAACCATCGGCACGTGCCCTCTTCTCTCGCAGCAAAGGCACCGGACTGTGCCTCTTTCTCCTGCGGCTGGTCCTTCTTGCCCGCCGCTGAGCGAGGCCGTGACAGAGGAGGGAAGGTGGAAGGCAGAGCTGAGAGCTGGCGTGACTCAGCCATCAGCACTCGCCCACAAAGCAGAACGAGGTGGATTCGGGTGTCTGTGTTTAACTGGGACCGCAGGCTGTGAGAAGGGTGGATGCGCTCTGCTCGGCCGGTGAGCTGCCGATCCCTCGTTAGCAGGTTCAAGGCTATGTGCGAGCAGCTGTGTTTGCCACGGACGTACACTGATCGCCGTGTTTGGGTTCCAGCCCCAGCTCTTATTTGCGGACCCCAAGAGATACCTGTTTCTTGTTAATTCTATTGCAAATATCACAGTTATAGTTAGGAGACATGGCAAAGTCCTGGCAGCCTGGCTGGCTGAAAGAAGTTTAATGCAAAGACTTTAGTTCTGGAATCACATCCTGCTCCGAGATACTTTGCTAGCAATAACCTTGGAAAATAGCTAGAACTAAGAGGCTCTACTCTTGCCACAAAACAGAGCTGGCCTCAAAAACTGCTCGGCGTGTTTCAGCAGAAAATAAATGCTCGGTCAGATATGCATGTGCGTGCGCGGTTTCCTCTCCCAGCTGTGTGCCACAGCGCTTGTGTAATGGACACCCTACAGATAAAACCACTTATTTGAAACAGGATATTTTGCAGTAAATTAAGCTAAATCTAGATCTCCACAAGATGTCAGCAAAGCAAAATGCATGTTCACAGGAATGCAAACGCAGAGGGCAAGGAGAGACACGGCAGACAGTGCCGGCCAGGTCCGTGTCCTTCCTCACCCATCTGCTGCCAACCTTCATTAAAGATCTCTGGTGATGGGCACAAGCAGCCACTCCGGCACTTCATTACCCTTTCCATGTGAAGGTGTTTCCTATAACTAACCTTTCATCCTAGAATTCAAGCCCATGGTTTATTAAAACTAACCCATTCATTTACTCCTTACAGGGCTTGGCTGTTTAAATGATGCTGCTTCAGTTTAAATTTTTCATCCTTTCTTCTGATGGTACTTCGAAATATTTATCAATTTGTTATTAAGCTGGAACCAGATTGGGATTGATGTTTTCATTAGAACTGCTAGTATAAATATGATGCCTTCCTTGGTAAATTATTTTGTTTGGTAAATGTGTTCATAAGTTAGAGTGGGGAAATAGATAAAATGTCTCTAGGCGTAACAATGTGACTGCCCAAGTTTGCCTTTCAGTGCTGCAGCTTTCTTTTTTCCTAAGCCTTTGCACAAAAAGCTATGTAAAATGGTTTGGACTCCTTGGTATAGTTACAGCATCTTGATTTCTAAGAGTTTATGTAACAAAAAAAAGTTTTAATTATTTGTTTCATAACTACAAGGGTTATTCTCATCAGTAGTTCTTACATGTGTTTAAACTAAGGAAGAAAGTGTGTTGCAGATCATGCATTTTCCGAGTTTTGCATTTCTTCCCTTAACTGCTAAGCAGCTGTCAGGAATTTTTTTAAGACCTTCAAAAAGATAACGCTGTATTAATTAAATATTTTATGTTTTTATCTTAATACTTAATGTTAATAGTCAAGAGCTTCACACCACGACAATGCAGGATAGATTTTATCTGGAGGTGTTTTATAACACCCAGTACTCTAGACAAAGTTTTCTAAACTAGGTTGTCTCTAGCATGTTTTCAGTTTCCTAAGAATTGTTATGGCTTCCGAAGTATTTTGTGATTACTTGTTTTCTTCCCAGATATATCTCAAGGTAGCGGCAGTGTTCATTGTTTTTCCAATCCAAGCTACCACACTCTCTCATGTGGTGTGACTTCACGCTTCTTTACCAGCAATCTGGATGGAAACAGCTCCAGTAAGGTAGATATTATCCCACCCCGCTGTAGCAATGTTCTTATCAGTTCAAGGAAATGGGCCAAAGCAATGCCTGCCGGATCCTGTTGTCTGCCAGCATTATTTAAAAACCCAGAGTAGCAGTTCCCGACATCTCAGCTCCAAGACACAGAAAGTCTGCGTTCCCCTGCGCGTGTCTCCGTAGTCTCTGTGCGTGGTAACTGGAGTTTCAGCACATGCCTGTCTGGGTCAGTAAAACTCACTGTCTTAGCACCTATAAGGTATGTTTGCTTCTCAGAAAAGATAAATAACTAGGTAATTGTACTTATCCATTAATATAACAAAAGTAAGTCAATGAAGCATTAAATCAGTAATCTAACTTCGCTGCATCGTTGTTTCCCAGATCAGCAGACGCACAAATTTTCTGCTGACACAAAGTGGATAGATGCAAGAAGGGATCGAGGGTGCTTCTGAGCACTGTTCTCATCCAGGGGCGTTCCGAGAGCTCTGCTGTTACTTCTGGCTCTCCAGCAGAGCCATTCAGACTGTCTTGCTCCAACATCCAGGAGTACCTTACTTATCCCATGTTGCTATCGATTCCCTAGGACCATTCCTGGACTGCACTGTTACTCAATTCACCACAGCAATACATTTACAGGTGGTAAATGGTAAGACAGCTCTTCCTTCAGAGCCTTAGTAAGCCAAGGTGAGGCAAAGGGCAGAGAGCAGAGGAAAAACGAAATGCAATTGACTTCATCGAGGCTGTCAGCTCTAAAAACGATGGTACTTGCAGGCGGTGTCACCTTAATGCAAACGTAGCTCTGCTAACTGGAAAGCCATGAATACAAGATTAACGCAAAAAAGACACTATTCTACAAGACAGTGTATGCAAAAATATTTTTACCTGTGCTCCTGTGAGTCATTTCTTGGTTATTAAAAGAAAACCTCATTAAAATGTAATACAAAGGCTGGCTCCAGAGACTTCTCAGAGAAAAGTTTAGACGGATGTGTAAATATGTTTTCCGATGTAGATGGTCCCCTTGCATGACACATTTCTGCTCCCCGAGTTGAAAGTGCAAATGCTCATGATGTCAAATTTAGGAGGAACACCCTGAGTGTGGGTCTGGACCACTAATTGCAGTAATTTAAATAAATTCAGAAAAGGTCAAAGCAAGCACCTATCTTGATTTCCTAGCTTGCGGTGCCATCTTGTCACAGAGGTACTTTAAATATTAAGCTGCCAAAAAGGTTTAAAACCCAAGTGATGCATTTGGACTAACCTGGAAGCTGCTTGCCTTGCTGCAGTACTGGCTGGCAGGGGGTGGTCAG